ATTATGAGAACGGTCGGATAAAACGTTGTAAATGCGTTTCTAAAGATTGTGTGGGAATATTTTTGCAGATTAATGAATCCTGAAAATGTGATTTTCTTAAAATGTAGAATTATCTTCTTTACTTTAGAAAAACCTAACACGAAATTATCTAAAAACAATGAAGCTAAAGGCAGTATGTAAAACAATGTTCTGAGGTCTTTGTAATTGATACGAATTAGTGATTAATGGCCTTCTAATATTTAGAAACATTTGAGAATTAAGAAGTTAAACAATATACCTGAAGGGTTAAATTTAGCGGAGATAATATTCAATTTATTGTTAATGTTCAATATTGAAAGAAGATTTTAAGCACATTTATTAGTAAATGTACGATAAATTATGAAGAAAAATTCTTCGAAGAGACGTGATTTTTTTTCCTTCTGTTAAGTACTTCACTATTCTCCATCCCATTTGTTTTATTATATGGTTCAATTAAATTAAATCTAAACTTAATTTACTCTGGAAAGTTTTTATTCATAATTAGAACATTATTGGTATGTCATTTGTATGATCACATATATACAACTTTTGAACAGAGCTGACTACGTATATTTGCAACTACAACTTACAACGTGTATAGTAAGCAATCGCCGTTGCATTACAAAATAATTGTTTTCCCATGATAACTACACTACTAGAATTTTCTAACAACATTGTACATAATCATTAATGTACATGAAAATTAAGAAATTCTTTCTAAGAAATATGGGCCCTATCGAATGTGATAAGGGATATTTCATTGATAACTTTTCGCTGGCAAAGAATAAAAATACCAGAAAATGACGGTTCAAGATGGCAAGAGATTAGGAATGGTATCTCTACACTATTGTATCTATGCTTTGTTATATGCGTATGCTTTATCTAATATAAACATATAATATTTAAGTAATAGTGTTTTTATATTTGTTTGCCAAGAGATCAGAAAAAGAGAGGCCTTTATCTCAAGAGAGCCAAAAAACAATTGGTATGAATAATGAATGAATTGACTCTTCAATGAATAATCTAGCTCAGTCGGTAGTCGACCCCAGAATTTTACAGTATACACGCAGTTATTCTCACCATTTGAGCTACTAAAACAGATACCTCACATAATTCACAATACAAAAGCCAATTGTTTGAAGATATAAAAATGTAGCAACATTTGATTACAAACACAAGAAATTAAAAAAAGAATTGATCCTACTCCGACGAGCAGCTGCACAGAGGTGGCTGTTCCCTGGCTTGTGTCGTTTGCGAGTGGAAGCCCAAGCATATCGCACGTTGAAACGCGCGTCCACTCAGTGGGCCGAAACCAAGCTATCAATGATATTGAAGTTCATTGAAAGGGGATGATGCGATTCACTATAGAATTATACTTGTAATAAACGATTGAATGCCTACATAGATGACGAAATTATTTTATTGAAACTCAAGGCCTTGCAAAGCAAAAGGAGCTAAGTAACAAACTGTTCAAAACAAATGTTTTGACATCTACCTATTATATAAATCGGTGTCAATACACAGTTAAGAGAATGATGTTCCAAACACCTTTCCAGTAGCTGTAACACATACCTATTGATGGCTATGATTTTATGACAAGAATACGAATTATTTAAGTTTTTACTGATTTCCCTGAAGAAACAACATTTTAGTACTTAGCCCCTTAGTTTTGCAAGGCTTCTATTAATGATTGGGCAACTTACCAAAACACTGATAAAATTGTATCAGTATTGAGTCAAAAAATTAGGAAATTGAATTATTCACCATTAAATGCCCAATAAATGATCTAGATAGACAATTAAAACAGACTACTAACCAAATTATGATACTTTTATTTTTATCGCTCTGAAAGTTTTTAAAGTCGGAAACAAATGAATGACTTCATGTTAGTTTCAAAACCCATCTCATATTATAGCACGTTACGAAGCTTTTCAGTTGCGTATCATTCACGAGAAAAATGTTCAACAGACTCTGAATTGGTAGACTCATCGAACGATCTTGACCGCTAGAAATTCATCTGCACGTCGACAAATTTTCGTGAAGTAAATGTAGTAAATGTATATTTTAAAACGTCACAAATTATTTATTGCTGTTAATTTGTCCCTTGATCTCCAAATTAAACACTAGAGTACTAATTATATTGGCAAAATAACGAGCGATCAACAATCTGTATTCTTTTGATAAATTTCTTTTGTCTGCTTCCACAAATCCTCTCAACTTCGTGACACAGTAATGAGCTAGAAATAAACATACATCAGTCACACAAACACGACCGCTAGTGGCATGACATCCAAACAACCACCCAAGCTTACAGGGTTGAGCAGTCAATGATTCTCATTAGCCTGTACGGATTGTTCACTATTTCATATTAATTTTTCGTAGAATAATGCTCGAAACCTTCGAGGTTTTGCTTATTAGCATTTTTTCTTGGATTGGAGTGGATATACAATATTCAATAAGAATTTCCAGGAACAGACTGCTTCCCTGTGTGACGTCGCTATTTAGCTCATGTTATAAATACGCCACTTGGACCTTTTGGACCCAGAATCCCTGGACCTTCCAGTCAGATATACTACAGCGACAACAGTTGTCCCACTGATCCAGCCCAGCTGGTGGAGAGAGTTGAAGTGGAATGGTGTAGACGGAATTTTTTTGAGTTTTTGGGCGCTTTAATGGCTAAGTCTATAGATTCTGTAAGGGTAGTGTTTGTTTTTATCGCAGGAGGGGATAATGATCTCTGGTTGGCCGACGAGATCCAGTGCCGACCTCAACGTCGGCTTTCGGTTTCCGGCTCCCCCAACGCGGCATCTCTAACCAGCGGGGCACCGCCTCAGCCGAGGCAAGCTCTAAGCGGAATAGAAGGACATGATGTGGAGGGGAGTAAGATGAATGCTAGCAAAGACGAGCGCCGGGTGAGCGTGGTATACTCTGGATGAGTGGGTAGGTGCATGGGTGGCTGCGTGGGTGGGTGCGTGGGTGGGTTCGTGGGTG